GATACATTTCGGGAGTTCAATTGCTTCGTACTCAAGCTCGTCAATGGTGAACTCTGTTGGCGGCCTTTACCGATTGCCCTCTGCAACTAATGGAGAAGACCAAATCAGCACCAAAAGATATATCGTCTGCCATAGAACTTCTACAGATTCGTCCGCCTCGGAATTCGGTGGCTTCCTCGGCTTCGATTACTCCTCTATGTATGATTTCATTCTTCAGTGTCAAATAGCTGTCGCTCTTTTTCTTAATTAGGTTTTGATATGATTATGGTCTCAAAAACAATTTGCTGGTTGTTGGTTACGAAATTATATTTGGTGGCAAGATGCGATTAGTTTTCAGATGTTTTCCTTCTGAAGGTTAATTTTTTTATTTTTTCTGAGTAACTTTTATTTAATGGGTGTCTTTTATTTAGTTGGCGCATTCAATATGGTTTGCTATTGGCAATGATATTAGCAGGTTGGAAAATAGAGCTCAGCTCTTTTGCTGTTTATTGCAATACAGTTTGGCTCAGATTTCCAATGACTGCAATTGAATTTGAAGTGGATATGGGAGTAGGAAGGATGAAAATGCAAATCAGATATGGCACACGGCAATATATCTTTTTTCGCCGGATCAGTTGTTTGTAAACTTGATGTAGTAAATTGGGAGAAGAAAAGAACAAAACAATAAAGTGCAGCAATTTTAAATCCTCACAGAACTCAAGAATTTGAGTAAGTTTCAGCAAAAGAAGTTAAGTTGCTGATTTGGCAAAAGAAAGAAGAAGGCTGTTCAGCTTTTTCATATCCACATAAGTCGCACTAGTTGCTATTAACATGATGGAGATGTAGATGATCCTAATGCATATATAATAACACTCCTTGCATTAGGAACAACACACTCCTAATTTGGATATCAGAGTTTCAAATTTTGCTAGCAATGGCTTGGTGAAATTATCCGCAACTTGATTTGTTGTTTTGCATTAAACAAGGATAACATCTCCATTTTACTGTACTTCCCTTTATTTTCCCAATGGAATATAGGATTGTTAAAGTTAGCAATCATAGCTTGATTATCAATAAGAATCTTTGTGCTTTGCTTCTGCTCTAAACTTAGATTGATTAGAATTTTCCTTTTCCATAAGACTTGTTTAACAACAGTACTTGTAGCTATGAATTCTGCTTCTGCGGTGGATTGAGCTACTGTATCTTATTTTTTTCAAGCTTTAAAAGAAAACACCAAAATCTAGCATTAAACAGTACCCTGAACTACTTCTCATATCATCAATGGAACTGCTTTGATGCTCTCCATGTTGCTTTGAGAAATTGTCTTCTTCATAGGTTTCTATACTAACCAGTTTTATAGTTTGAAATATGGTCATTAAGTTCTAGAAGATCATTTGCCATCTTCTTACTTTTCATTTGCAATAGCCCCCTGATTGTGATTATACCCGAGCTTCTTATGCCATAATTCTATGATATTTTCTTTAATAAAAAAACTAACTTGTTTCTCTTTCAATTGATTTTGCACAAAGCTCTTCCCTTTCATTTTCAATTTAAAATTATTATTTTCTTCTGCATCTTTAATCAAGCAAATTTTGTCCTCAAATATAATTTTATAACATTTTTCAATTTGTTGTCCAACACTTTATAAGTTTTGGTCAATTTCAGAAATATATAACACATACGAAATAAAGCCTGTATCTGAACAAGTTAGAATTACAATAGCTCCTTTTACTTTCACATCAATGCACTTGCCATTTCCGATTCTAACATGGAGGATTTGTTCCCCTTCTGTTTCTACCACAAAGCTGGCATAGAGGATTTGATGCTCTTTTTTTCAATCTTGGCTTATGTTTGCGTTGGTAAAGAACACTTCTTTTGGGCTTAGATGCGTTTTTCTCCTCTTATTTTTATAGTTTCTTGTGCTTTCTTGAATCTTGACCGATAAGGCTCCTACAACATCATTTTCTTGTCTCATTTTTTTTCTTTGTTCTTGAGCAAGTAATGCATTCAACAATTCTATCAAAGATAATTCTGAGATAGTCTAAGTGTTTTTTAAAGATGTAATTAATGTTCCAAACTTTTCAGGAAAATTAACAATAATTTATCCTACAATCCTTGATTTTAGCAGAGACAAACCAAGTAATCTGATTCGACTTGCAATATTCAACTGTTGTCAGTACTCTCTTTGATAGATTCACTTTTTTCATCTTCTGCAACTCAAATTCACATACCAAATTCAACACTTGCATTCTTCGGATCCTTTCATCTCCTTCATATTTAGTCTTGTGAAATCGCATATCTCCTTTGTGGACTTTAATGACTTGATAGGACTGAAAATAGCGGAAGAGACTGCAACGAATAAGCAAGCCTTTGCCTTTGATTTGTTCGTCTTTTTCTTCTTTTGCACTTTGATTTGAGCCATGGTTGGATTGATTGGAAGTGCAGAAATTTCATAGTCTTCTTCTACGGCTTCCCAAAGATCCAAAGCCTATAAGTATGTCTCCATACGAACTACCAAAATCTGGTAGTTTTTTCTCCATTAAAGACTGTTGGAAACATTGAGAAAAATTTGGCTTTGACTTCCAAGACTTTGTTAAAACTCACTCACCGATCCCTTAAGGAAGAGCTCTGATACCTTTTGTAGTAAATTGAGAGAAGAAATACAACAACAACAACAAAGCCTTAATCCCACTACGTGGGGTCGGCTACATGAATCCTTTTTCTCCATTGCGTCCTATTTAGTGTCATATTTTCATTTAGTTCTAGTAAATTAAGATCATTTTTAATACAATAAGCCCAAGTCTTCCTAGGTCTACCTCTGCCTTTCTTAACACAAGTCGAATCTAAAACATCTACTCTCCTAATCAGATCACCAGATGATCGACGTTTAATGAGACCAAACCATCTAAGACGACTTTCTCTAATTTTGTCTGTCACAGGAGCTACACCAACCCTATCACGAATATATTCATTCCGCATTTTGTCTCTAAGTGTAAAGCCACTCATCCACCTAATCATTCTCATCTCGGCAACACTTAACTTATTATTATGCTTCTCTTTTAAAGGCCAACATTCAGCGCCATAGAGCATTGCAGGTCTCACCACCATCTTATAAAATTTTCCTTTCAGTCTTAGCGGTACTTTTCTATCACACAAAAAACCCGAAGCATTCCTTCACTTCAACCAACCAACTTGAATTCTACTATTAACACCCCATCTATATCACCATCGCTTTGGACAACGGACCCAAGATATCTAAATCGTTCACACCTTTTAAAAAGTTGGTTGATTCCATAAATCATTCTCATCTCAGACCCAAGATATCTAAATCAACAACGGAATCAGTTGTTGATTCCATAAATGATGCAATAATTCCAAATTATTTTGGAATTCAATATCTAGCTTCATCTAAGTGTTAGTTTTTTAAAATGAATAGAGTGAAGGTTGGGATGAGAAATTTATCCTTGGAAAAAAAAAAAAA